TTTTGATTTGCTTTATTTATTTTTTTGATGTTACATCCTTTGCAGAATCCCCTTCTGGAGTTTTCCGGAGATTGCTTGCGGATAAAATGGAAAGATCAACAGACCCCGTAAGTTCAGGAGTTGCTGGTCAGTTTGCACTGATTGGCAGCAGTGACAGAGAAAGTGAGGAACTTCCAGTCATCCTTGGCGAGGGAGCTAAAGAACAGAAGTTTAGAGAACCCAACCAGACAGAACACTCCCAACAGAAGAATGGTTCAGCTAGCGGGAAATCAACGGGCATCAGAGAGTTACCTCTTCACAGCAAGACAACAGACGACAATGGAGAGAAGGCAACAGACGGCAATGGAGAGATGTCAGCCTCGGAGAGTGTGACCGGTCTTAACGCTTGGACCGATAGCTGGCAGACGGGAGATGATTCAAAGAAACAGCAAGCCGCTGCCGTGGAAACAAGGTAAATGTTGTCATAAACAGGAGAATCTCTGTGGTGAAGTGGTCAAACAGTTTGCCTCGTGCTCTCAAGGTCGTGGGTAGTTTTACGGCTGCGTCATTTGGATCACGAGTGCTATTTTTAGGGAGATCCCTCGGGGTTCGTCGCCAGAGCTAAGGAGTTCGTAGTTTTGTGCGACGCTCTAGGCAGGTGGCTAGCCGTTCTGCGGAGAGAGATCTTTGACATGTGAACAATGTCACACAATAAATGCATTTTAAATGCTGAACGTCAGTTACTTCCCTATCGTATTTATACTCGAAAGCCTCATAAATGACAGGTAAGGTTCAGATGTGTTTCGTTCAAAGATCCTATCTGATGACACAAGAGATTCAAACATCTGCTATCATTGATTACACATTAACATGCATTACTAAGAGCCTCGGCTCGTCGATGGACGACTTCGTCGCCGGTCGGAACAGTATTTGGGTCTGTCTCCTTTGATCACATCAACACTGCAGGAGTGCTTTTCGTGGCTCTTGCTGACATGTAATGCTAATAGCCATTTTATGTGGCGCACATAACCTGGTCACAATTATAATCTAAAGCTCCCCCTTCGTGGAAGCTGGTTGAACGTGACGGTCCCCCCCCCCCCCCCCACCCCCACCTACCTACCTACGAAGAAAACCGCTCGACAGACATGGGAGGCTGTCTAGTACCACCAACGCCAAGAAACACTCAAACAGCAGCAATATCTGGAACAACAATTTTAACTTAGAGCTAGCTAGGACGAGAGACTAGCTCCCTAGGTAGAAGTGGATGGGGCTAATTCAAACCGACCGACTGATCCATCGACTTGAGTGCCAACCAGTCTGCGCGAGGCTGCCCGGGGCACACATTTGAGGACACAACGACACAATAATAATGATAATAAACGGGACGTAGGATGACGCACGAGGAAAAACATCAGGAGCATGAGGATAAATGGGCCACGTTGGGACACACACATGAAGGAGTTGGTCTAGCTACTAGGATAGGGAACATAAAACCAGAGAGCCAGCCCACATACCGCAATGTTAGCCACACAAGTAGCGCAAATAAACCAGACCACAAATATACCCGGAGACTGTTGGCAGCAGGTTGAACGTGGAGTGAGGTTGCCCTGGACGGCTGCTCTTGGAGAGCACTTGTGGATCAGAAAAGGACGAAGTCAATACACAATGGGGTTGTCAAATGTCCCACTAGACTAATAAGGAAGGTTACCCAGAAAGACAAATGCCCGTCGCACGTTTGTCGCCCAAAAGGAGCAAAAGTCGCAGCTATGCCGTGAACAGACATAACGTGATTACGTTAAATGGACGAAGGACGAACCATGAATGAGAATATCGAAAGGGTTGAGGTACTTGGACGAAAAGCTAATAATCTAGTGAGAGCAAAAAAAAATATTGATGAATAAAATGAAAGACTGCAGAGATGGAGAATATGATAGAGAGAGAGAGAGAGAGAGAGAGAGAGAGAGAGAGAGAGAGAGAGAGAGAGAGAGAGAGAGAGAGAGAGAGAGAGGGTAAAATAGAGAATAGGAGTGTGAGAGAGAAAAAGAATTCTTTGAATTTATGAAATGAAAAAAACTGATATTCCAGGAGGCTATCCCGAGCAACATATGACCGCAGTCGTCGTCTGATTCGAGCGAAAGGTACAAATATCGCAGCCATGTTGTAAACTGGCACAATGCTGTTTAATTTTGACTGACTGACTTTCTACCCCACCAGGATATCACACAAGCGATAAATACCCGACACAAAGTGCCACCATGTGGATGAGGATCGCCGCGGAGAGGTCCCAGAAACCGCGTTCAGACAATTGGCCACATTTATGGCCTGCCTATATTGCGACCCCTAGCAAAAGCCAGGGTGGGGCTTCAAATAACAAAAAATTTTGTCCTGAAAAGGACACAATCAATTTATGAAGATAAGCACAACATTGCACGAATCCGGAAGATAAAGAAGAAAAACTGATAATAGGGTGTTGTGTATCTATAAGAATGTATATGAGGCACAGAGAGGGGGTGGGGTGGAA